ACTAAAAAAAAATACAAAGAAACGAGCTGGACGACTAAAAATATATAGAAAAAACGAGCCGGGCGTGGAGGCGCACGCCTGGAGTCCCAGGGGAAGAAAGGAAGCTGGGCCGCCGTTCGGCCGAGGCCGGCCTCCCCACTGGGCCTCCGGGGGGTCCCACTGCCGAGGTGGCTTTGGGTGTCCGGCCCCTCGGCCCCGGGAAGCCGCAGGGAGACGGCAGAGCGGGCAAAGGCCCCCCTTTACCGCCCGCCACCCATCCTGGGCCCCAGGGGAGGCTGGGAGTAGAGGCTGGGGGTAGAGGCCAGAGGTTGAGGCCGGGGGTAGGGATGGGAAGAAAAAGAAGAGCCTTTCCCCACAACCCCCCATGCAGGGCCCCAGGCGAGGCTGGGAGTAGAGGCCGGCAGTAGAGGCTGGGGGTAGAGGTCGCAGGTAGGGATGGGAAGAAAAACACGAGCCTTTCCACACCCCCATCCCCCATCCAGGGTCCCAGGGGAGGCCGGGCGTAGAGGTCAGAGGTTCAGGCTGCAGATAGGGATGGGAATAAAAGAATGACCCTTTCCCTACCACCCATCCAGGGTCCCAGGGGAGGCCAGAGGTTGAGGCCGGGGGTAGGGATGGGGAAAAAAAGACAAGCTTTTCCCCACCCCCACCACCCATCATCCAGGGCTCCAAGGGAGGCCGGGGGTAGAGGCCGAGGGTAGAGGCCAGAGATAGGGATGGGAAGAAAAAGACCAGCCTTTCCCCAGCCCCCATCCAGGGCCCCAGTGGAGGCTGGGCATAGAGGCTGAGGGTAGAGGCCAAAGGTAGGGATGGGAAGAAAAACACCAGCCTTTCCCCAGCCCCCATCGTCCAGGGCCCCAGGGGAGGCCAGGCGTAGAGGCCGCGGGTAGAGGTTGAGTGTAGAGGCCGGAGGTAGGGACGGGAAGAAAAAGACCAACCTTTCCCCAGCCCCCATCCAGGGCCCCAGTGGAGGCTGGGCATAGAGGCCGAGTCTAGAGGCCGGAGGTAGGGACGGGAAGAAAAAGACCAACCTTTCCCCACCCCCCATCCAGGGACCCAGTGGAGGCTGGGCGTAGAGGCCGAGTGTAGAGGCCAGAGATACGGATGGGAAGGAAAACACCAGCCTTTCCCCACTCCCAACCACCCTTCTTCTGGGGGCCCAGTGGAGGCTGGGCATAGAGGCCGAGGGTAGAGGCCAGAGATACGGATAGGAAGAAAAAGACCAGCCTTTCCCCAGCCCCCATCATCCAGGTACTCAGTGGAGGCTGGGCTTAGAGGCCAAGGGTAGAGGCCAGAGATACGGATAGGAAGAAAAAGACCAGCCTTTCCCCAGCCCCCATCATCCAGGTAGTCAGTGGAGGCCGGGCGTAGAGGCCGAGGGTAGAGGCCGAGTCTAGAGGCTGGAAGTAGGGACGGGAAGAAAAACACCAGCCTTTCCCCACCAGCCATCATCCAGGGCCCCAGTGGAGGCCGGGCGTAGAGGCCGCGGGTAGAGGCCGAGTCTAGAGGCCGGAGGCCGGAACGGGGCGGGTGGAGGCCGGGCCTCCGCTCCTTCCCCGCCGCCGACGGACTGTCCGGCCGCAGGCGACGGGCGAGGGCGGCGTGATCGGCCGCTCGCTGTTCAAGAAGGAGACGAACATCCAGCCGTTCGCGGGGCTGCGCGTGCGCCTGTCCACCGGCGAGCTCGGCCTCATCGAGGGCGCCTTCGGCCAGAGCGGCAAGTTCAAGGTCAGCGTCCC